CTTCTGTTGCTACATATAAAAACGTCAAAAATATACCCTAGATGGGGTGAATAGTGGGATGGGCCAACTCATAGCTCTGTGTCTGGGTGCTTGCAGGGTTGGTCAATCTGCCAGCTCTCCTTCAACCTCAACACCAGGTGAACTCTGGTACTGCCCTGGCTAGTTCACCCTATGTAGTGAGCAGCAAGGGGCAGGGTGATTCTCCTGCTCGTATGCCCTCCGGGTTGGCTTGCCCACACCTAAATCACCAGGGGCAGCTCTTCTGTGCTGCCTACTCAAGGGCAACTCTTTCTTCTGCTGTGGTTGGCAAGAGGCAGGACCAGGTGCCTTGCTCAAGTGACTTCAGGGACAACTCTCCACGAGAAGGTCCTTCATTCCCAAAGTTACAGGATCTCCTTGATACGGGACAACAGGATATCAAAAAGGAGCCCCATTTAGGGCCTAGTATTGATGATATAGCAAAAACCAGAGACCTCAAATGCAGTGAACACTTATAAGTAACAATATACAGACTAAAGGACCTTGTGGCTCACTGTGTTACTCTGCAGCTTCCACAGCAGGATTTTTCTTTTCTTTTCTTCCAGGGTCAGGGCAGTTGCAAGGGTAGAGGATGGATGGGAAGGAATAAGGAGATGAGTGGGATCCAGATGCATGATGTGAAAACCACAAAGAATTTAGACAAAAGTTAAATTTAAAAAAAAAAAAAGAAAAAGAAAAAGGAATATCCTATAACCTCAGGACGGTCACAGTGGTTCTTAAACATTGTAGCAAGTGTTGAGTTTCACAAGACACAACTTGCTTCTGTTACCTTGTGATGTCACTTCAAGGTAGCCTGTGTGTAAAGAAGGAGAGAATCAGTCTCTCCAGGTAGGAGCTCTGTGGGGGCCTGAACTCCTCCCCAGCTCCCTGCAGAGCCTGTGGCCTCCTCCCTGCTTCTATTCAATGCTGAGTGAGAAGGGTGCCTGCAGCCTTCCTGCTGACAGGGGCAGCGGGCTTCTCACTTAGAGATTTAAGTACATTCTCACTCTTGAACATGGCGAGCGCCACCACCCCGCACCCATCTCCCCCGTAGCCCAGTAAACTAAAAAGGTTTTCTGACAAATACCTGAGCTTCGGGCTCTTCATGCCAAAAGTTAAAGTGAGTTGGGAACAGACATATATTAAACTAAATGACAGTATGGCTGTCTTTTCCTTTTAGCGAAATTATTTTTGTCCTTGAGATTAAAAAATGAATTAGCAGGCTCAAGTCTCTTCTGGCAAAACAATGCACAATGTGAGCTAAATGCTCAATGTTGTGTCATTAGAGCAAGTTCTTTAGATATGAATTTGCAGTTAATCCACCTTCATTATCTCCATTAGCTAACAATGCATGTAATTACTGCTCTGCCAGCCGAAGACATCCAAACACTAACTTTCCCACAGACTCCAAATAGTCACTAAGTTGCTTGCTATAGTTCATTATATTAATAATAGATGTCACCATGATCCTACTCATGTAATTAAACACCACCCATGTGCCTAAACTCCAGTATCGTTTTTAGTTTAATCTGTTACCTGTTAGATACAACAATCATAACAGAAGTAAGGTGCCCCATAATAAAGGTAAATTTAACCAACTGGCTTGAAAGCAGCATTATAAATGATTCTTCATGTATGTCATTTTAGTGTTCATTAAGGGGAGAAATTTTATTGAATAAAATATGAGATGTTTTTAAAGAAATCAATTTAAGCCCATAATTCTCTCCTCAAAAATCATTAGCACCATCAATTTGCATTTATTTTGATATTTTACTACATATGTATGTATCTATAAATAGCTACATATGCTAAAATACATAAGGCAATATTTGTAACATAGTATTAGGTAGTCTAAAATTGAATTAAATTGGGATAGTTCATCTAAGGTGGTTTAGAAATAATTCATAATTGAAATATGACAAGAAATTAGCATGTAACCATGAAGCCTACAGGAAAAGGCATGCTGTCAAGCAGTGTTGCAGTATTATCGCAGCAAATATCTAACCATGGCTTTGTAAGCCTTCAGAAACTGAATTTACTCAAACGTTAAAAAATGTAACATGAAGGGGGCCTGCTTGTTTGTGTTTTCTGTCCCGCCTGGTACACCAGAGCTGGCAAGCCCCAAAGAAAATGACACAGAGGACTCCGCAAGTTATAAAGCTGACTGGCCCGTTAGGTCAGGCTTCTTACTGGCTAACTCACACATCTTGATTAACCCATTTTTCTGATCTATGTTAGCCATGTGGCTCAGTACCTTTTTTTCAGTGGGGCAGCTTACATCCTGCTGCTTTGGTGATCTGGGCAGGATCAGGAGGAATCAACTTCCTCCTCCCCAGAGTTCTCCTGCTCTCTTTTCATCATCATTTTCACTTCCTGTCTGGTTTCCCCACCTACACCTCCTGCCTGGCCAATCAGTGTTTATTTAAAACATGATTGACAGAATACAGACAATTCTCCCGCACCGAAAAAAACTATATATGATTTTTAAAAACAAAAATAAAGCTCAACAGGAAAAAAAAAACCTAAGTTTCAAATTAAAGTCAAGAAGAAATCATCATTAACTTCAGGCATTTTCCTGTAAACGTGTAAGCAGTGTATTACAGGTTATCAACTTGAGAGTTATTGAAACAACAGCAACTGTCGAGGCTACACGCAGTAACTCACTTAATCTACTGTGTGCCAGGTAGTAACACCTCAAAATCATCATAACTAGTGCTTTATTTTTGCTTAATTTTCCTAATAACTAAGAGAGAAATTAAGGCTATGCATGTCTCAGACAGTAAAAGTAAAAGTCTACAAAGGATAATCGGCTGTGGAAAGAATCGGCAATGAGTCTGTGTCTTGATCAATGCTCCTAACCCTGGCCAGTGCTCATCCCTAGCTCCCAGTCCTGAGACAGACGCTTCCTCAAAGCCCACAAAAACCTTACAAGCTTTATCTCTAAAATGGGAATAATCATTAATTCTATGTACCAGAATTATTGAAAACTGGCTAGACAGTTTATGAGAAGGTGCTCATCAAAACATGGAGCTCAGAATGATGCTTGTTAGGTTATTGTTAAGTTGAGAAAATAGAATGTTGAAAATGAAGAAAGACTTTCTTGTCTCTTGATCAACATTTTCCACAAGAAGGAGTATATTCTTGTAAAATGTCTGCTGGTTACCTGGCTTAACATAAAAGTGCTATCTGAAGGCCAGGGTGAACCAGTATTCTTCAGCTGTGAGACTAGTAAGCGGCAGAGTGAGCTGGCAGGGAGGAAGAGAGCCTGAGAGGTGCCTGGGAGGACGGGTGCCCGGCAACTGCCTGGAGTCACTACCAAGCCTTCCTTACTATGGGCCATACACATGTATTAGTCTCTTATGACATTTAGGCCCTTACAACAGAAAATAGTATTTAAAAGCCTCATGCTCCTCTTCTTCATTCATTCATTATTTACTTAGTTATTTTGAGACAGTATCTCACTAAATAGCTCCGACTGGCCTGGAATTCATTATGCAACCAAAGCTGATATCTAAAAAAATGTGTATGGCCCCCTATCTGGCCATTGCTTGAGATAAGTCCATAGTAATTTGAGTTTTAAAATATTCTTTCATGAGTATTATCATAATAAAGACCCTTAAAAGACTTACAGAACTTGGATTCACAGGGTTAAAAATAATTTTTCAGAAATCTCTGTATACCTATATATGGTAGTGTGTACATATGTTGCTGTTTATCAAATGTATGCCTCCTCTTTTGTAACTGAAGGGGTCAGTTAAGTGCTTATTGTATACAAGATAAGGCATAACACAGTAATTAGGAAGGATGATCAGCAAAGGTCCCAGCAAACATCAGTGGCACACACACACACACACACAGAGAGAGAGAGAGAGAGAGAGAGAGAGAGGGAGAGACAGAGACAGAGAGAGACAGAGAGAGACAGAGAGAGACAGAGAGACAGAGACAGAGAGAGACAGAGAGACAGAGAGAGAGACTGGCAGCTGCTTCTACTTACATCATGAACTTGGTCTGAGTAACTTTTGGTCCCATGCTGAGCATTGGCTCAGACACTGTGAACAGTGCCCCCTGTGCTTTGCAAAATATCTCTTCTACCCTGTCGCCAGTCCTCACTATGGATCTGCTTGGCACCCAGCTATTAGGGAAAATGCCAAGGTCCTAGGAGGGTGGTGAGCCAGCAGTCACCCGGACAATGTGGCACATGTTCTCAAACGTCTTCACATCATACTGGGTTTCATGGTGAGCTGTGGCTCTTCCTGCCGAGCAATACCAGTTGTCTAACCCAGACACTCAGCTGCGAGTCCGAGGTCCCAGGTTCCATTCCTATTAAGGAGCTAACCAGCTGGCAGTGGTGTGCTAAACTACTTTATGACCCAACGTTCAACTTCTAACAGAGGTGAGAATTTTCCAGGGTAGATTTTTATGTATCTAGTGACTTTTATCCTTTTTTAATGTCTATATAGTTACTGAGTTAAAAAAAAAAGTACAGCCATAAATAAAGTAGGAAGAAAGAAAGCAAAAGAAATGGACCAAAGGGGTCACATATTTTCAGCAGTAGCGGTTTGAATAAGGATATCCCTGAGAGGCTAATACATGTGAATACTTGGTCTCCGGTTGGTGGAACTATTGAATGATTAGGAGGCGTGGCCCTGCTGGAAGATGTATGTCACTGGATTTTGAGTTTTGAAGCCTCCTGCTATTCTCAGTTTGCTCCACCTCCCGCTTCCTGTTAGAGACTGAGCCCTCAGCTGCTGCGCCAACCACCAGCTACCTCCTTTCCATCATCATGAACTCTGACCCTCTAAAACTGCAAGCCCCAATAAACTCTCCAGCAAGTCATTTTGGTCACAGCAGACGGAAAGCAGCAAGTATATCAGAAATTCCTTTTTGTACTTTCAAGGCTTTCACACCTTGAGATAAGCCGCACAGACCCTGAGCATGCAGAGTCACACACACCATCAGGGGTCGCCCCGCAGGGCACTCACCTCCAGGACGCTCATGCTCCCCGTCCGTGTGCAGCAGCATGGCGATCGGCATGCCTACATTCTTGGATCTTCCTGCTACAACCACATTTCTCCCAAATGTTTCAATTCCTTAAAAAAAAAATACGGTTTGTTTAAATGCATGACTAACACAAAGAAGCAAATGAAACATCTGAAAAGCCGACTGAAATGTTCTTTAAAAATGTCTAATTAAATTTGGATTTTCTACCTGGTCTGCAGCATGCCCTCACTGGATTATTTATGAATATTTCTTTTTACACTTCTTGGATTTGCCATTTCCCCTCTCATTATATCCTCATTTACAAACCACAAAAATGCTCAAGTTGCCATGAAAGTCATTTTAAACGCTGAGTCGCATATGAAGTGTACAGTCTTAAAACACATTACCCGCTAGTCAGACGAAGAAGCTCATGCAGCGATATTAAGCAGCAATGGCAATCAGCCTTCCAGTGAGACTGGGATAACAAGAGGCAGACAGCACACACTTTACTCCACAGGAAGAAGCCCTACTCTGAAAGCCAGCTCTCTGCCGTGCGGAGGCACCATATATCTTCACAGGTAAAATAAAGAAACTGGAACTGACATTTATCTAAGTACGGACAGCCACGTGTTTGATTCTAGAATCTGCTTTCTCTTGAAGTGCTTCCAAGAGAGCAGTAACCGTGGTGGGGGCAGGAAAGCCATCAGTGTGCAAAGCCACGGAGCTTCAGGAACGTATCCACGGCCTGTGAGGACACAACGTGTCTAGCACAGTAGAAGCCCACATGCTTTTATTAAAAACCACTGTCAACAGACAAGGTTCTTACATGATTGGCACATTATCTTATCTTAGCAAGAAAATAGTCTACACTTGGGAAAGATTGTCATCAAAATGCATAATTCGAAAGTCGGAAAACATGGCCACATCTGGAAGGTCCGCTCACTATAAGCTACAACTGTAGTGGGCTATCACCTGGCAGATGGTCTTCACTCCCGTCCACTCTGTTTTGTTCCGTGACATTCATAAATAAATAATAACTTTATAGCCTTTAGTTTTATGCTTATTGTTTTTGTTGCTTGTGTGCAGAGGTAGTTCTACCCAAGCAAGGCTCCAGAGCTCCCCTGCACCTGGCGCTAGTTTCCCACAGACCCAGGTGACCAACCTGCTCTTTTTATTATTTCCCAGACAGCACTGGCAGTGGCAGGTATCAGAGAGCGCTGATCGAGGCACAGTCTTCCGATATTGATAATATGAAATCCATCCACATCCTTTTCTGGGGCAATTCCGTTGCATATTGTTCTTTCATCCATATGGTCTAAAAGTAAATACAATTGGTCTCTTTTAAAATTAATATTTATGTGAAAGCCCCGAGAATGAAAAATGGGGAACTATAGACAGATCAGCTCCAAGACACATAAAATTATTGTTCTATTCTTGCCATCAAAATAGTAACCCGAAATGCTCTTGGAGGGTAGCTGTGATTGGCTGCATCTAGAGCATAGGTTACTAAGAGAATACACTGGCTGGACTAGAGAATTGTGTGGAATGAACAATTTCTAGGAAATGCAGCCACAAGTAGGCAGCTGTCTTTGCCTCAACATGCTTGCAGATTTAAGGGGACCAAATCCACTTTTCTCTACCACAAGATGTGTCCACTAATGGGTGTGTTAAAAAATTGAACACTGTAGATTAAATAGAGTTAAAGAGGAAGCCACAAGGGCTACCCAGATGTGGTGCAAAAATTCTGCTAAAACCTCTGGTTATCCCCCTAACAACATAAAGAAAAAGCAAACTCCTCGAAGCCCAGGTGAAAGGCGAGAGGGTTGGCAAGGAAACAGGATTACAGCTGCAGCACACCCAGGAAGAAAACAGCCGGAGCCGTCAGTCTGGTACAGGCATTTTCCAAACCCTCGGCCAGCAGCCTTAGGAGAAAACCCTGATCCTTGAGCCTGAAGAACAGAAGACAAAGGAGTCCACTCCCATTTCTATTCACCTCTGGAGTCTAGGTCCTCACTGAATACCACACGGGAAAGGAAAGTCATAGAAGTCACAAAGGAAGTGCACACACCTACTCCTGAGTGGCACGGCTGCTTATTCTGCCTACCTAAAGAGGTTGGACGATAGCGGCAAGAGCTTTCAAGGTCAGTTCAGTCAAGAACACACAACACAAAGTCAGCACACGAAAATCAGGTGCATTTCAGCATTCAAACTGCAATAATCAGACAATAAAATTATTCTCAGCTACGATTTATAATAAATTACAAACAGCAACATTCTTGGGAATAAATTTTGGAACAACTCCTGTACTAAGAACTACAAAAGATTGCTGACAATGGACAAAGTTATATTGCTGATAAACACAGCAATGTTTCAGCTTCCCCAAACTGACTTATAAATTCACTGCACTCTTAATCTTAATACTAGATTCTGAAATGTATTGAGAGATATGTTTATATTTTGAACACCTGGCACTTCTATATTATCCAATATCAACTTAAGGTGAACTATTTCTTTCAAGTCTTGAAAAATAAAAAAATCCACGCAAAGCTTCATGCTAACAAGATAAAGTTCACACCCTTAGCATGTAAGGTTTTGAAAATTCACTCGTATATTCACTCAGATGATAGTTGAATGTGTTCCATGTGTTGCACCAGACTTTTTCTTTTGTGACACCAACCAGTGCCCAAATCATGACAGGAAGACTTGTAGTTATGAATGTTCAGCCTTACTTTGTGCTTGTCCCATAGCTCTTACAATTTATTGCATTTCTCTTCATCTACATTCTGCCTCAGGGTGTTTTCCCTTACTTTCCTCCTGTATCTCTTACTTTCATTTCTCATGTCTGGCTGGCTGGTGGCTGCCTGGATTCTGGCCCTGCGTGTGTCCCTCTCTTTCTCCCTAGACTCTTCTCTCCTTTGTGTAGATTTCTCCTCCTACTTATTCTCTCTGCCTGCCAGCCCCGTCTATCCCTCTCCTGCCTGGCTAATGGCCGTTCAGCTCTTCATTAGACCAATCAGGTGCCTTAGGCAGGCAAGGTGAAACAAATGCCCCACATTTTTACATAATTAAACAAACGCAGCGCAAACAAAAGTAACACACCTTTACAGAGTTAAAGTAGTAATCTTCAGCAGAAACAAATGTAAGACATCTTTGTTCACTTAAAATAATATTCCACAGCAATGTGTCCAGTGGGGAGTTAGAATGTGTAAGTGAGCCAAAGATAAAATTCATGTCCTATGGAACTTACATTCTAATAGCATAAATATTTACCCAAACAGTTTAACTGGAGTCTCAATATACATTCTTTGTCTTCTATATAAAGAAAAAATCAAGACAGATAATACTTACAAAATGCCTGCTTATCCAATATCATCCATAAATTATCTTATCATTGAGAGGTGGGGAGACAGAAAAGAAATGGGAAGTGAGTCTCACCTCACGGAGTCACTCCAACTCCCAATTTGAATCTGGTAAAGGCTGGAAATGGAGCCGGTGGGATCCTCTAGGCTGGTGGTTCCCAACCTTCCTAACACTGCGACCCTTTAATGTAGTTCTTCATGGTGTGGAGATACCCAACTACAAAATTATTGTCGTTGTTACTTCATAACTGTAATTTTGCTACTGTTATGGATCATAATGTAAACATCTGTTTTCTGGTGGTCTTTCTTGACCCACATGTTGAGAACAGCTGCTCCGGGTGGATCTTTTTCTCCATGTACCTGTAGCCTCCCTCTCCCACAGTCACAAAGACTGTTCAGGATGTCTGGGAACTACTTTACAGATATCCTATCAAGGTTAGAATCTATACATCCTATGAAGCTAAATTTTAAGCTTGGCTTTATCTGAGTCTATGATTCTCTGGTGTGAGCTGAAGATTATATAGAAATCTAATGTGGCCCTTATTCTTCTGAGTGCTGGGAGAAAAAAGGCGGAGTCAGAGAGGTGCCATCTAGGCACCAAAGGAGACAGGAGCCTGGGAACCTTACCTGTAAACCCCAAGTCTCATGGTAAAATATAAAATAATAGAGATGGGTTAATTTAAGATGTAAGAGTTAGTAAATAAGAATTCTAAGCTATTGGCCAAGCAGTGGTGTAATTAATGTCGTTTCTGTGTAATTATTTCAGGCCTGGGCAGCAGGAAATGAACAAGCAGTCTCTATGTACAACCTTGCTTGCCAAAATCTCAGGAACAATAATTTAGATTCAGATTGTTCCTTAACTATCTGTCTCCCCTGTCAGGCCAGAGTGTTTGAAAATTAAATTCAATAATACACAGCCTATAAATATATGTATCTTATTTTTTAAATGTAATTTTTTTAAAAAAATTTCTTGTGTACTGTTTTTATATCAGCCCTCTCCCTCTTCTTCCTCTGTCTCTCTCACACCTCCAGTCCTGCTCCTGTACTGTTCATGACCTCTCTTACTTTAATTGTTATTGTTACAGGTGATGAAATAATATATTTTTGTAAGTGAATAAATATGTAAATGTGTCTCACTGAGTTCATTTAGTGTTGTTTATATATATATTTTAAAAGTCTTTTTAAAAAAGAAATATACACTATGTAAATGGAACTTTGAGATGAATACACTAAAAAAAAACAGATGATAAAGGAAAAATCAAAAGATGGGAAGAAAACCAGAAAATTACTGTTGCTTTTGAAATTCCTGAATTTTAAGTGGTTTTGTTGTTGTTATTTTATATGTACGATTTTGTTTTGGTTTTGGTTTAAGAAATTATCTCAGAAAAAGATATGTCTGAACTTGGACAACAAAACAAACCTTCTTTGGATGGCGTCTACCTAGGCATGAATGGAAAGAGACATTAGTGGCTCCAGAAACAAACCCCTGGAAGACACAAATTGTCTTAGTGATTGTCCCCACAAACTACTAACAGTTGTAAAACTGCCTGCTCAATGCTGCCACCTAGTGGAGATACATTCCATTTGTAGGACAGTTGTCTGTCCTTATTCTTGTCTTTTATCTCATTAAAAAAGTTATCTACAAAATCTTTAAGTAGACAAATAACATTGTGAGAATGGGATTTTGAAAATCATGATAAAATTATCTGAAGCAAAAAGTTTCTTCAAACAAAATATTGTTTTTAAATGAATCTTAAATTGAATTAACTATAATTCACAGCTTTAAGACAGGATAATTTATTGTTGGTGATATTCATTTTTAGTGTATTGTGTGGGTGCCTGTGTGCATGTATACTGTGTGCATGTGTGTGTGTGTGTGTGTGTGTGTGTGTGCTGTATACATGTGTATGTGTTCATGTGTATGGAGGCCTGAGACTGACATTGGCTGTCTTGTCCTGTTACTCCCCCCACCTCGCCTTTTGAACTAGATTCTTGTAAACTGAGACTGCTCTTTTGCTTCCCAGACACCAAGACCCAAATAATCACACAGAAACTGTATTAATTATAACACTGTTTGTCCTGTTAGCTCATGCTTCTTATTAACTAACTCGTACCTCTTAAATTAACCCATTTCTATTAGTCTGTGTATCACCAAGAGGCTGTGGCCTACCGGTAAGGTTCCAGCATCTTTCTCCTTCAGCAGCTACATGGCGTCTCCCTGATTCTGCCTTCTTTCCTCCTCTATTTCTCATCAGATTTCCTGACTTGCTCTATTCTACCCTGATATAGACCAAAGCAGGTTCCTTATTAAACAATGGTAATAAAACATATTCACAGCATACAGAGGGGAATCATGCATCAGATTCTCAACGAACAGAAGCATGCAGATTTGGTAAGGTAAACTAGTAAGCAAGTTTCATGGGTCCTTCTGCCTCTGCCTCTCCAGTGCTAGGGTTAAAGGCAAGCAACATCATGCCCAGCTTTTTACATAGGAACCAGGGACCCAAAGTTAGATTGTCTCACTTTCACAGCACTTAACCAACAGAGCCACCCCTCTTAGGACACAATCTTTCTATCAACCCCAAAATACCCAAATTTCAGTGGATTCCTTATTTTTCATCATAACTTATGTATATACAAATTTTTAATCAAAACAAAAGCTTGACAATAACCTATATTTTCCATTACACAAATAATGCACCCATTAAGCCATCTCTACTCCTGTTCCAACCTGTTTTAAATCTCATCTTGGTTCCTGTGCCTATTACTCCTTTGGTGTCTTTTTTGAAAACTTAAGCCAAAAAGGTTTAATGGTGACAAATTACATCAGACTGATTGCTATGCCCAAAATAAATCAGAATTTAAAATTAACCTTCTGTGTCAAGTCCTCCTTTATGCTGATTATTTTATTTAACGCTAAAAAATAAACCCCTATGAAGCACGAAGCATTTTCTTCACTTGCCAGGTGAAAACACTGAGGCAAAGAGGTGACCAGTATTATCTGTTAGTGAATGGCAGGGCCAAGACTGAAGTCCAGACAATTTCATTATAAACCCACCTTTTCCAACATCACTGTGTCTCTGAATATTAAAAGGTCTAACATGTATTCATACACTTCAAACATTTACTCTATCCACTAGCTAATACTGATACCCTGGAACTGTATCAATTAGGGTTCACATATTAGTGTGGGGGATCAGTCTGTCTGGATCCAGATATGGCTACTCAGAAGGAAAGGATGTGACCTCTGTGTTCTTGTCACCAAATACACACCATGATAGCTCCACCCCCACAGAGTTACTATGAGGATTCAAACTGAAATGGTAAATACAAAATCTTCATATAGCAAAGACTCTGTTCAGTGGATACTCGCCCCTGGAATTTTGTGTACATATTATTGACTTTGAATATAGAAAAGTGCCATCTCTCAAACCACCCTCACATTTGTTGGGGTTCCTGTTACTTACTCTGGAAGAGAGAATTCAAGCAGGTTTGTCTGTAGTACAGATAGATCACCAGTGCCATCTAGTGGCCATTAGTAACAAAGTCACTGGTCACAAAGGCAGCATTAGATACAAATTTGATTTTGTTAGGACAAACTAAATACAATGTACTCAAAAGTCTGACAACAGAAATACAGTGATTTGGAAGATAACTCTAAAAAATTTAATTATGAAAATTGTATTTATTTATTGGATAAATTAACTATCTCATGATTTTGTACAATAGGTCTCTAGAAGCCTCTGTCTACAATGTATTTCTTTCAAAGACCTGAATGGGAATTGAATATTTATTATGTAGTTCACATAGAGACATAAAGTGTGTCTTCTCATGCATCCAGCCTTACACCCACATGACATCATACACGTCTAGAACAGACCAAGGAGATTGGCCTGTAAAGATGAAGGGAAAAGAAACAAGAGACAATAATGTAGTGTAACATCTGAGTAGATCAGGAAAACGGAACAACAGGGAGAGGCAGGAGTCACCTATGCCTGCAGGAAGGAAAGGTAAGAACTCTGTTGTAAAACTCCAACATACATAAGAATAGTAAGTCACTCCATCCGAATTCAACCGAAATGTAAATGGAGACATGCAAACCAACCGCAATGCTAACACAACATCCTGTGAAGAACTGCAACTATACAACGACGGGGAACTGAATGAAGGTCAGGGAGAAATAAGGGACAGGCTCCTGTTGTCAGATTGATGAATATCTTAAATGTCACCATAGAACCTTCATCCAGCAACTGAAGGAAACAGAGGCAGAGACCTGCAGCAGAGCACTGGGCTGAGCTCCCAAAGCTGAAGAGTGGGAGGTGTGAGAATATCAGCAAAGAGGTCAAGACCATGACAGGGACACCCACTGAAACAGTCTACCTGAGCTAATAATGGGAGCCCACCAACTCCAGCCAGAGAGGGAAGGAACCAGCATAGGTCCAAACTAGTGTCTTTAAATGTGGGTAACAGTTGTGTGGCTGGGGCAGACTGTGAGGCCACTGGCAGTGGCACCAGGATTTATCCCTACTGTTTGTACTGACTTTGGGGGAACTTAGTCTCTTTGGATGGATACTTTGCTCAGCCTAGATATAGTACGGAGATCCTTGGACCTTCCCCAAAGCAATGTGCCTTACCCTTTCTGAGGAGTGGATGGGGGTAGGGAGGGAGAAGGTGGAGGACATGGGAGGAAGGTAGGGAGTGGGAACTGGGATTGCTACGTAAAATTTAAAAAATGATAGTTTATTTTCTCTTTTAAAAAAGTAAAATTAAAGAAATTATTAAAAAAATAAGGAATGGGGCCATGATGAAAAGAAGAACAGAATCCCAAAGGAAGTAACATCAGCTAGAATTTCACATTAAGGAACTCTCTGAATGTACAAATAAAATATATACGGTTTAGAAGGGAATATGGCAAATCAATCCATCACGCCATTGAAAAGACATTTGCTCCACAACAGTTGCATACTGAGCTAGTGATTGCTATGCACGCCACTCTTGACATGATTTGATTTAAAAAATAAAACAAAGAGAAAAACAGACACTTCAATTCTTGTGACTAATGTTTTAAAAGATAAGATTGTAAATAGATATTAATCACACTACTTTTTATGTCATTATACATTTACAAACCACAATAAGATAGTTTCTAATGCCTGAAAAAAATTTTAAGAGACACAAAAAGTTGCTAATTTTCCCACTGTTTATTAGAAGCACCACCTGCCTTCAGCTTGCAATCAGCTGTGGTTTCTCCCAGCTGAGCAGAGAGGTGTCTTGCCCAAACCTAAATTTCCTGTTCAGTTTTTCATCTTGTCAGTATAAACCTTCAAAAACCTGTTAGCTGTTACTACTGTGCTAAATCCTCTTCTGAAAGTGGTCTATAAATTGCCTTGAATACCATGATAAGCCCTTTCTCCTGCCCAACCCAGACACACAAAAGAGCATCATGTACCTGGAAGAGGGAGCTGAACAAGTATACCACTGACTCTTGGGTCCATGTTCAGTTGATCAGTGATATCCAAAAGCTCCTCCTGAGAAACGTTCTCGGGCTTTAGGATGAGCTCACTGCAGATACCTGAAAGACAAGAGAAGGTCACTTGTCTCTGCTCTTCTCCAATGTGTGTCTGGTCTCCTCTGACCCTGCCCCACTAAAGGGAAAACCCTTCTACAGAGTCAATGTTCTAGTCACCCAGGAGGAGGGATTTCTCAGACCGTACAGGGATTCTTTCCTGATTTCTAAGCATCATTTGCCTACTACTCCATGTAACAACTTGCACTGACTCATGACAACCCCTCTTAGAAGATTTGAAGAGACCAAGCGAGACAGAAAATTACTGAAGTTTATGATTCAGTCAGAGTGGATGCACTGAACACAGGTGATGGGGAACCTTTGATTTATCATAATACATTATTATTATTATTATTATTATTACATATTATTATACTTATTACAATGTATAAGTATCTGATTGAGATACTTATACATTGCTTACATTTTGAGGTCATTGTCCTCATTTACCAAACAGTTGTTTACAGATTATTTACTATTCTGATATGAAGTCTTAATCTTTAAGTTATACAGTTATTAAGTATTATAGGTCAATATTCATTCGTGTTTGTGATACTTTTAGTCAGGCTAATTAGGTTCTTTAGATACATAGAGATTGTAATCTGCCTAGATAGGTAATCTTCAACCACTTCAAGGATCTGTAGAACATGGCATTTAAATAACTTGGGGTTCTGTTGATGTGAGACACGATTGCTCCTGATAGCACTGATCTATTCCCAAGAGAATGCTGTGCACCAAAGACACTCCACTTGGAGTCTGTTTTCTTCTTGGCACAATTGGCTTTTGGGCAAAGAACTGTCCATGCCTTCACCACTGACAAAGTACATGGAGTCCAGACTGGATAAGCAGGACACAAGAAAAAAGACTGCCAAACCTTGCCAAGACAGGGTAAGATGGTTCTAAAAATTTTCCTGCCTCTGAAAATAGTCTGTCAGTCACACTAGGCCTTAACCAAAGTTGGTTGTTTCAACATTGAAAATGAGACTTTCGGTGATTATTTAGGTAGCCAGTTGTCTCTGTCATAAACTGCACATTTTGGAAGCTGCTTGATTGCACTTCCTGCCTACTCAAGTAATACTATCTCCCGTCTCCGGTCTTCAATGGGGTTGAAGATTAGATAGTCATAGTTACCTTCCTCTTATGATTTAGCCAAGCCATTTCCAACACAAAACTTAGACTCTTTAGGATAAAATGTTAATTAAAACATTTGACATATGTTCCTTCCTTAATATTGTTTATGCCAGTTGTAATCCTAATCTTATACTTAATATCTGTTCCTAGTGTATATAGTTTTGTGTTGTATTTGGCACTTTCTTATTTAGACAAAAGGGGGAGATGATAGGGGACCTCAGCCAGCCAATGACCTTTAAGAGGTTGGACCAGGTTAGGGTACGACCTTTTGGGTACCCAGAGAAAACCACAGGCCAGCCCAGGGCTCTCGCTCTCTCTCTGCTTCCCATGTTACACACCTGAAGTTGGACTTCTCATTCCTGTTCTGTGAGTTTGCCCATTATAATAAAGAAAATATAAGTGGAATATTTTGGCATTAGCTTGTGATTCTTTGACCGGCATCCTCACCCCCAACACACGGGCTCTTTTTTAAAAGCAGATTCCTATCGCCTCCCCCATAAAATATGGATCACACTGAAATAATTCTATGAGAAACCTGAACACAGTAAGACACTCATATAAGCTTGAGTAATAGCATAATCTCTAATAATAACAATAATCCATGTTATTTGGATGGTAATTATTTGATAATTATCAATCACAGTTACATTACTTTACATAACAGAAACATTTAGTAAGAAATACAGCTCACATACATACCCACCTACAGCGGAAGCAGCTTTTATCTTATTCCTGACGTAAGTGTGGCTTGCTGGGTTATCTCCCACTAAAATGATACTGAGGTGGGGCCTCCTGTTCCCAAGAGCAATCCATGATTCCACACCTTGCTGTATTTCTTTTTGGATTTGCTTAGCCATTTCAGTTCCTGAGATGACAGTGGCTTCATGTCTGTGGGAAACAAAGTGCTAAGTATAATATTAAAAAGCCAATAAGAAACATTCAGCTGAATAAGTGTGGAACGAGAATGTTCACAACAGCTGTGGGGCTGGGAGGACGGCTCAGCGGCTTAGAGCACCTGCTGCTCTTACAGAGGAGAGACAAGTTCCCAGCACCCACATGGTGTCTCACAACTGATTGTAACTACATTTCCCAGAGAAACAGCGGCCCTCCTCTAGCCTCCACAGACACCACACACATGTGGTACATAGCCACACATGTAGGCAAAGACACAGGAAACGAAAACATTCAAAGCAACTATGAGCATCTAAAATTTGACTTTTCTAACAACATCTGACGCTCATTTTCAGGTTCATAGACAATACTAATGATTTTCTGGAGGACTGGAATTTCTGTACTTCTACATTATGATTTGATTGTTCTAGGCCGAATGTGTTTATGTCACCCTAAATTTATGTGGAAATTCTAAACCTCTCTGTTCTGAGAGTGGGAGGAGATCACTGTGGGGGTCTCTGTAAACACCACAGCCAGCAGAGTATCGGTCCAAGAGACTATGAGATAAGAAGGAAGTTCGGTTCAGCACAACTCAGCAGCCAGTGCTGGTTCAAACTTTGAGAGTCTGACACTGGGCAGTTAATTTTAGGCATATTTAAGTACAGGACAATTTGGAAAAACGTTTCCTGGTGACAATTAACTCAATCCCAGGTGCACAATAAAGCTCGTAAATGATTAGACTGAAACTCTTTTCAAAGGATATGTGACCGCTTCCATAGGGTGGGTTCTATGGATTGACTAATTGTGATATCTTTAGGGTCTGGGGAACGAACTCGGTCGTATAGATAGTGTAAACGTCACTAGGTTATTAACCACCTCTGTTCCCACGTATAAAGTACATGTTACATGTCTCTTTAATATGGGTTCTATTAGCTGAGAAACAATGCTCAAAATAAGGGTCTAGGGAGGATGGCTGGGATAGACATAAGAGTCTGCGGGAGACAGATGTGACCTCGCCATAGAGAAAGTGTAGAGGTCACCGGGCTATTAACCATGTTCATTTCCCGTCTTCTGGACAGAAAACCGGTCATACAACCAGAATAACTCCATGTGTTTAATATGTCTGGGTTTCCTAGTGTTTATCTGTGAGCAGACAGGCCTCATGCCCTCTACAGATCAGCCACGGGAACAAAGTCTTTGTAAAATGTGTCTTTACAAGACACTCCAAAGGCTCCCACTCCCCTTCCCTGTGTGATACAATGAGAGAAAAACAAGTTAATTTTTAGTTTTGGTATTTAATTTCATATATTCTAGGTATTAGTCCTATATCTGAAGTGTAGTTGGATTTTGTTTTCCAATCTGTAAATTGCCCCTTAACTCTGGTTATTCCTTCCTTGGCTGTGTAGAAACTCTTCAGTTTCATAGCATCCCACCTGTCAATCTTGTGATTATTTCTATTGCCCTCGGAGCCTTTCTGGAACATTCTGGGTTTTTAAGTACTTTCTCACATTTTTTTGAGAATTTCATACATAAGTACTGAATTTACCTCATTTCCAACACACTCTCTGCAAATTCCACCCATGCTTCTCCACTCTCCCAAATTCATGGCCTCTTCTTTAATTATTATTTCACATTTATATGTAAGACAAGCCACTGAGTCTACTTAGTGTTACATGTTTAGGACTGACGGCTAGAGACTGGGTAACCTATCATGGGGCTCTTCCCTGGAAAAGAATACTGATTGTCCTTCTCTTAGCAGCCATTAATAATTGCCTTCATCTGGAGCTGGGGCCTTACGAGATGTCCCCCATCCGCAGTGGCGTGCCAACTATTGTCATTGTGCAGGTCTTATTTACGTAATGTGTATTGCCACAGAGGCAGGGAAAGTAAGAAGAGATCACTGTGAGGGGACCCGTGAAGAGGGGCTCAGTATGGAATAGATTCTCTGAAGGGGAACATAGGAAAAACAAGAGGGCTCTTAGCTGGGGAGTGGAGAGGAAGGCAAAACGGAGGGAAAGAGGGGAAGGGATATAAAGAACATTAGTGGTGATTATTTTCTGTTCACTTAAAAACATATCAGTGTATGTATATGCATATATAAATGATCTACATGAAGTTACACCACTTGGGCTGATAATGTCCCAAGGTCAAACGCTATCTAAGAAAACCCTAGTACCAGGTAGTGAAGCCTTTCTTGGGGCTGTTGATCAGGGGAGTTCAGGAGACTTCAAACACAATGGAAGCTCTTTCTGCCCATTGTTGTCTTGAAGCAGAGACTCTATGGTTGAAGGCACTGCTTACTTTGGACACAGGAGTAGGAGGAATTGAGCTGGAACTAACCCGGGAGCCTCCGTCTCTGCCTCTTCAAGTTTCATGTGTGTTTTCCTCTGCGAGTTTCAAGGTTTCTGATCTCAGACTTTGGTAATTTTTTTAAATTGATTTTTGTGCTGGATGAAACATGTGGACCTAGTTTCACTCATCCTTACAGTTCTCCCGGCACCCATTGTTTATAGAGGCCATCTTATCCCCAGTATTTGTTTTTGATACCTCTGTCAAAAACTTAGATGGTAGTGCTTGTGTGTGTTTGCATTCTCTTATTTTATCCAATTGATCTGTGTGTCTGTTTTTGTGCCTGTGGTACATGGTTTCTGTTACTAAAGCTTGGTAAAATAATTTGAAATAATATTGTGATGCCTTCAGCATTGCTCTTTTGTATAAAAAATTATTTTGCTTTTTGGGGTCTTGTGCTCCCATACAGATTTATATGTTTTTATTGTTCAATGAAGATTGTACTTAAGATATTGAAGGGGATTTTTTTGTTAATATAACAGTTTTCACAATATTAGTTCTGCTAATCCATGAGCCTGAGAGAATTTACCATCTTTCGATGTCTTCAAATTCTTTTCTCAATATTCAACTTCCCATTTGGAGGCCTTACACTTCCTTGGCTAAGTTTATTTAGAAGGTTTTTGGTTTTTTTTAAGCTATTACGAATGTGGTTTTTCTGATTTCTGTTTTTCTCAAGTTCACTACGGGTATGTAGAAAAGCTGCTGTTTTTCAAAACTGATTCTGTACTCTGTGAGTTTGTTAGAAATATTTATCAATTCTAATAGTTTCTGGGGGACCCTTTCATGTCTTTTAAGTATAAAATGATATTTGCAAATAGGGATGATTTGATTTCTTCCTTCCCCATTTATCTCCCTTCTATCTCTTGGGAGTACTGCCCTAGCTAAAATTCTGAACATTATATTGAGTGAGCATTGGGACAGCCGACACTTGTTTTATTAGACATTTTAGAAGACTAAAGGTTCCTCTCACATTTAGTATATTATCTGTGGTTATTTCATGTGTAACTTTTGCTATGTGAAGATAGGTGCTTTCTATCTCATGGTTTTATCATCGGGGGAACTGAAATGCCTGAAAGGACTTTTCTGCATTAATTAAAGAAATTAAAATAATGTGATTTCCCTTCTTAAAGATATGAATACAGTCTTACACAGAATATTATACTTATTGATTTGTATATATTGAACAAAACGTCCTTCTGTGGAATGAAATCAGGTTGTTTTTTATGTCATCTTAATGGGTCTTAAGTTCATTTTTACCCATTTTAATGAAAAATTTTGTGTCTTTGTTCATCGAGGAAATTAATCTACAATTTCCTTCTTCATGTTGGGTCTTCATGCAAATTTGGCTTTGTGGATGAGTTTGGCTGTGTTCTTTCTCTTTCTATTTTATGAAACATTTCCAGAAAACATTAGTATTATCTCTTCCTTAAGGGTTTGGTAGATTCTGTAGTGAACCCTGCACTTTCGTTGAGAGATTTTTTTTTATTACTGCTTCAATCTAATGAGGTTGTTATGGTTCTGTTTAATACGTTTGCTTCTCTTTGATTTAATTTTGGTAAGTTACATATATGGGAATCCACCAATTTCTTCTATTTTATCCAGTTGTTTGGAATATAAATTTTGAAAGTACACCCTAGTGACTGAGACATTATTATAATCTATAGTAACCTTCCTCTTTCATCTCCAGTTTTATTAATTTGGATATTCTTTCTTGCTTTCTTTCTGTTAGTTTGCCTATGGGGTTTTCAGTTGATTCCACACATCATCCATCTACCTTCTATTTTATTATTATTTCTTGGCATCTATTGCTCTTGGAGTTTGGATTTTTCTTTTTCTAAGATCTTGAGGCACATCATTAAATTATTTATTTCAGGTAATCTCAATGTTTTAATCCAAGCACTCATAGTTATAAATTTTTCCATCAGGTCCGGAATCATTTGTTGCTGCTAAAAAAAAATTGATTATTCAAATTCTTTATTCATCAGTACTGCTCATACTTTGTATTTCTTCCATTATATCATGTTGGTGGTTTATGTTTCTAGAAAATTTTCAGTTTTTCCTTGAGTGCTTTAAGGGCTGTTTAATGGGCCACACTAGTAGGAACATGGAAGACAGTGAAGCTGAGTGTGATTTTATGAACTGTGGAGGCCTGGTTCAAGATGAGAAAAAAGAGGAGAATTTTAATATATTGACTAGAGATTATCCTTGTGACATTTGGGTGAAGAAAGTGGCTAGGTTTTGCCCTTGTGCAAAACATCTTCCTAAAACTAAAATGAAGAGTTTTAGATTAATTCCACTGACAGAGGAAAATCTTTAAAAGCCTAGTATTGACTCTGTCATACGGTTACTAACAGTCATTCTTATGAAGATTTATAATGAAAGGAGCAAGATGAGAAAATCAAGATACAAAATGTACAATTTGAGAAGAAAATGAGCACCAGAAAGTGAAATGAATCTAAGCTCTGCATTCAAAGAGATAAACAGATTAAGAAATGGATAAAGGGAGTGGTGACCTCAGGGCAGGACCACACCCAACTACATTTCTAACTTGTGAAAAGGAATTTTTAAAAATGCCTAGAGCCTGGAGTGATGGTGCAAGCCTTTGATCCCAGCATTGGAAGGCAGAGGCCAGCAGATCTCTGAATCTGAGGCCAGCCTGTCTATAGATCCAGTTCCAGGACAGCTAAGGTAAGACAGTGAAGGAAGCCACTCAAAACAGAAAACTAGTAAAGGTGTAATTGAACAAGGGGGACATGTTTCAGCCCCAATAAGCAGAACTTGGAAGCTTCAGCCACATAGTTCTGGCTTTGTAGTCAAGCATAGAAGAAAGGCATTATGGAATTTCCCTCCATGACTAAGGAAATCTGCTGAAGAGAGGCATGTGTAAGGGTGTCCTGAACAGAGGCTCAGAGTGACCATTGTGTGAAGCTGTGAAGGAGAAGATTGGATTACCTTGAAGACCCCAAGATGTTGGAAATGCCAGAGCTGTGGGATACCTGTCGAGGGAAGATGCTAACAGGGAATGGAACCAGTCTAAGAGAAAGAAACGTGCTGCAGCGAGCAAAGCTGAGAGGATTTGGAGATGAGAAGAGCACTTTGACAGCGGACATAGAGGTGCAGAGATCAGAGATCGCCCAGCTGATTTTCAGTCTTGCTTTGGCCCAGTGTTTCCTCCTACACTGCACTTCCTTCCCTACATTTTAGAACGGTAATGTGTAGATTGTCCCATTATATGTTGAAAGTATGTGATCTGTTTTGTGGCTTTTTTGTAATTTTGTTTTTATAGGGGAATCACAGTTGAGATTGTATGAATCTCAGAAGAGATTTTGAATTTTGGACTTTTAAACGTTGTTGAGATAGTTATAGATTATGAGGACTTTTGAAGTTGGACTAAATGCAGTTTTGCACTATAATATTGTTATAAGCTTATAAGGGCCAGAGAGTAGAATTTGGTAGTTTAAATGTAATTGGCCCCCATAAGCTCATAGAGAGTAGAACTATTAGAAGAGGTGAAGTAGGCGTGGCCTTGTTGGAGGAAGTGCGTCACTGTGGGGGCAGGCTTTGAGGTCTACTATGCTCAGGTTACTCCTAGTTCTGACGACTTTTTGTTGCCTGCTAGTTAAGATGTAACCCAGCTCCTGCCCCAGCACCATGTCTGCCTGTACTCTATCATGACCCGCCATGATGATCGTGGACCTATTCTCTGAAAACATAAGGCCCCCATGATGATCATGAACTCAATCTCTGAAAACATAAGCCCTCCCCCTACAATTAAATGTCTATCCCTTATAAGAGCTGCTGTGGTCATGATGCCTCTTCAGAGCGATAGAAACCCTAGTGCTGGGGTGAGCAGCAAGGCCGAATGATGCTTTACTCCTCCGTACTCCATGAAAGCCTGTCCTCCGTGCGGTCCCACTGGAGTCTGGCGGTTGGACGACTCTACAGATCGTATGAACTTGTCCTTCTTACTCTCTTCTCATTTCAATAATACGTCATGTTGTTTCACTCTTTCACTAGACTCCTCAGTATTTACAAAGGTAGGGATTCGGTGAGTGGAGAAAAGACCCATTCCGCCACCCTGTTGATGCCATCACCATTTGTTCAGTCAAAATATCATTCTTCTCTTAGTGAATTTAAGTGGAAGCTATTGTCAGAACATAGCTTATATCTCCACTTTGTTGTAGTTGTTGTTGTTTAAATTCTTAATTGTAAAGTGAAATTCAACTATGTTTGCCTCTAGAATTTATACTTTTCCTTCCTTAGATGGCAAGATGCAGTTGTTCCGAAAGACTGGCTTAAGACTTGGCAGATTTGGGAGGGGGATTATTTTGCAAATTGCTTATAAACTTTGTTTTGTTTACTCTAGAGGGGTTCCCAGGTCCAAGGAGAGGTCCCCTGATTGTTCCTTGAGCAGCAGAGGAGAGGGTGCCTGAACTGGCCTTCTCACATAGCCACACTAATGAATATCTTACATATCACCATAGAACCTTCATCTGGCGATGGATGAAGATAGAGACAGAGACCCACATTGGAGCACTGGACTGAGCTCCCAAGGTCCAAATGAGGAACAGAAGGAGGGAGAACATGAGCAAGGAAGTCAGGACCACGAGGGGTGCGTCTACCCACTGAGACGGTGGGACTGATCTAATGGGAGCTCACCAAGGCCAGCTGGACTGCGAGTGATAGAGCATGTGATCAAAATGGATACTTTGAATGTGGCTGGCAATGAAGGCTGACTGAGAATCCAAGGACAATGGCCCTGGGTTTTGATTCTACTACATGGACTGACTTTGTGGGAGCCTGGTTTGTTTGGATGCTCACCTTTATAGACCTGGATGTAGGCAGGAGGACCTTGGACTTCCCACGGGGCAGGGAACCCTGACTGCTCTTAGGACTATGTAATATGAGGGTCCGGCTTGTTGGGGTTTCTGTCCCTGCCCAGTACCCCACAACCGGCA